CCAGCATGAGGGATCAACGCATGAAGGGGCAATGGCCCAGCATGAGGGGTCAACGCATGAAGGGCCAATGCCCCAGCATGAGGGGGTCAACGCATGGAAGGCCGAAGCCCTGGCATGAGGGGTCAACGCATGAAGGGCCAATGCCCCAGCATGAGGGGGTCAACGCATGAGGGGTCAGCCAAGGCCCGAGCATGAGTGGTTAGGGCATGAGAGGCCGAAGCCCCGGCATGGGAGGTCAACGCATGAAGGGCCAAGGCCCCAGCATGAGGGGGTCAACGCATGAGGGGCCAGCCAAGGCCCCAGCAAGAGGGGGTCAGGGCATGCGGGGCCGAAGCCCTGGCATGAGGGGTCAACGCATGAAGGGCCAATGCCCCAGCATGAGGGGGTCAACGCATGGGGGGACCGCCAAGGCCCCAGCATCGGGGGTCAGGGCATGAGGGGTCAACGCATGAAAGGCCGGAGCCCTGGCATGAAGGGTCAACGCATGAAGGGCCAATGCCCCAGCATGAGGGGGTCAACGCATGAGGGGCCAGCAAAGGCCCCAGCATGGGGGGTCAGGGCATGAGGGGTCAACGCACGAAAGGCCGAAGCCCTGGCATGAGCGGTCAACGCATGAAGGGCCAATGCCCCAGCATGAGGGGGTCAACGCATGAGGGGCCAGCCAAGGCCCCAGCATGGGGGGTCAGGACATGAGGGGTCAACGCATGAAAGGCCGAAGCCCTGGCATGAACGGTCAACGCATGAAGGGCCAATGCCCCAGCATGAGGGGGTCAACGCATGAGGGGCCAGCCAGGCCCTTGCACGGGGGGTCAGGGCATGAGGGATCAACGAATGAGGGGCCGAAGCCCCGGCATGAGGGGTCAACGCATGAAGGGCCAATGCCCCAGCATGAAAGGACGAAGCCCTGGCATGAGCGGTCAACGCATGAAGGGCCAATGCCCCAGCATGAGGGGTCAACGCATGAGGGGCCAGCCAAGGCCCCAGCATGGGGGGTCAGGGCATGAGGGGTCAACGCATGAAAGGCCGAAGCCCTGGCATGAGGGGTCAACGCATGAAGGGCCAATGCCCCAGCATGAGGGGGTCAACGCATGAGGGGCCAGCCAAGGCCCCAGCACGGGGGGTCAGGGCATGAGGGGTCAACGCATGCATGAGGGGTCAACGCATGAAGGCCAATCAGCATGAAAGGCCGAAGCCCTGGCATGAGGGTCAACGCATGAAGGGCCAATGCCCCAGCATGAGGGGGTCAACGCATGAGGGGCCAGCCAAGGCCCCAGCATGGGGGGTCAGGGCATGAGGGGGCATCAACGCAATGCCCCAGCAAGGCCGTCAACGCATGAAAGGCCGAAGCCCTGGCATGAGGGGTCAACGCATGAAGGGCCAATGCCCCAGCATGAGGGGTCAACGCATGAGGGGCCAGCCAAGGCCCCAGCATGGGGGGTCAGGGCATGAGGGGTCAACGCATGAAAGGCCGAAGCCTGGCATGAGGGGTCAACGCATGATGAGCATGAAAGGCCGAAGCCCTGGCATGAGGGGTCAACGCATGAAGGGCCAATGCCCCAGCATGAGGGGGTCAACGCATGAGGGGCCAGCCAAGGCCCCAGCATGGGGGGTCAGGGCATGAGGGGTCAACGCATGAAAGGCCGAAGCCCTGGCATGAGGGGTCAACGCATGAAGGGCCAATGCCCCAGCATGAGGGGGTCAACGCATGAGGGGCCAGCCAAGGCCCCAGCATGGGGGGTCAGGGCATGAGGGGTCAACGCATGAAAGGCCGAAGCCCTGGCATGAGGGGTCAACGCCTGAAGGGCCATGTTACAGCATGAGGGGGTCAACGCATGAGGGCCATCCAAGGCCCCAGCATGGGGGTCAGGGCATGAGGGGTCAACGCATGAAAGGCCGAAACCCTGGCATGAAGGTCAACGCAAGGGCCAATGACCCAGCATGAGGGGGTCAACGCATGAGGGCCAGCCAAGGCCCCAGCATGGGGGGTCAGGGCATGAGGGGTCAACGCATGAAAGGCCGAAGCCCTGGAATGAGGGGTCAACGCATGAAGGGCCAATGCCCCAGCATGAGGGGGTCAACGCATGAGGGGCCAGCCAAGGCCCCAGCATGGGTGGTCAGGGCAGGAGGGGTCAACGCATGAAAGGCCGAAGCCCTGGCATGAGGGGTCAACGCATGAAGGGCCAATGCCCCAGCATGAGGGGGTCAACGCATGAGGGGCCAGCCAAGGCCCCAGCATGGGGGGTCAGGGCATGAGGGGTCAACGCATGAAAGGCCGAAGCCCTGGCATGAGGGGTCAACGCATGAAGGGCCAATGACCCAGCATGAGGGGGTCAACGCATGAGGGCCCAGCCAAGGCCCCAGCACGGGGGGTCAGGGCATGAGGGGTCAACGCATGACCGGATTGCCTGTGTCGCCCCGGTGGCATACTTCCAGAGGGCTCGGGTGAGATGCTCTTCGGAGATCGACGGTCTCCTTACAGGCGCCCCGTGCGTCCTCACCCGACTACTCAACAGGAGCCCTGCGCACCATTGGCACGGGGAGGATGAGGAGGGCGAGGAGGAGGAGGAGGAGGAGGAGGAGGAGGAGGAAGAGGAGGAGAGGGCAGATGGGGAGGAGGAGGAGGAGGCGGGCGAGCATGAGGAGGAGGAGGAGGAGGAGGCGGAGGAGTTGGCTTAGCGTGTCGCACCGCCAGTTCTGGCCCACAGTACCTCGGCTCGACACGCTAACCACGTACCAGTCCCCCAACCGTCAACGTCCCGAGCCTTTCTGAGCCTCCCCCCCTGCGGAGCGGAGCGCCACGCTATCCGCAAGCAAGGTATAGCGTGTCGCCTGGGCCGCCGCCGCGACACACTACGCGAAAATTGGCGATGGGCCCCGTTTCCATACCAGATCGGCGTGTTCCGTCGCCAAATCTGGCGGCGCTGGCGCCATGTTTCGAGGGATCACGTTCCCCGAGTCGTGGATCTGGCGCACTCACGCCGAACGAGTGTGATAGGGGACTCACGGCAAGTATAGTTTCGCAAACGCGCTCATAGGTGATCCGCCGTTGCCTGCGGAAAACGTGGGTCAAAGCTCGCTTCTCGAAACCTCCCAGAACCTGCAAGCTACGGCAGGATAATGATGATCAGCCGCTGCCGCGGCCATCCAGCCATCCAAAAAATGTTGATCAAGTTAGCCTGGGCTCGAGCAGCGCCATCAGGGACGGAACAGCCCACACGCCGGATCCACGAGTCCCTCGTTCACGTAGGCCTTTCCAAGGACTCGGACTCGGCAATCGCAGTGCCGGCGCCGCGGGCCGTTGAGGAGTGGGAGCGCTGAGGCTGCCTAGCGCGTGCGTCGCCGTTGTGCAGCCGGGGCCCGCCTCAGCGCCGCCGGTCGCCTGAGGCCAGTCGCTCGCCGTGCGGCCGCCGGCTGCCAACTCGTGTCGTTCCCGACGGGGGTGGGGCGCGGGGTGGGGGCGGTCTGCGCGCCGCGCTCGGCGGCCTGGGCCGGAGGGGCGCCCCTCTCCCAGGGGGGGCCCGCGCGAGGGCGCGGCGACGATGGCGCACGGCCTCGGCGGTTGCCTTTCGCGCAGCGCAGCGCGCGAAGCCCGTCTGGTGCCTCGGAGGTGAGACGCGGGCCAGCTGAGACGTCCGCGGCCGTCCTCCCTCATCCTCTTTCATTTTCATCTCTCCTCCTCCCCCTTCGGACATCAAAGAAAGGCCGCCGATGTCTCCGCTGGCCCTACACCCTCCTCCTCCTCCTCCTCCTCCTCCTCCGCCTCCTCCTCCTCCTCCTCCTCCGTTCCTCGTCCTCCTCCTCCTCCTCCTCCTGCTCGTCCTCCTCCTTCCTCCTCCTCCTCCTCCTCCTGCTCGTCCTCCTCCTCCTCCTCTTCCTCCTCCTCCTCCTCCTGCTCGTCCTCCTCCTCTCCTCCTCCTCCTCCTCCTCCTCCTCCTCCGTTACTCCTCCTCCTCTTCCTCCGTTCCTCCTCCTCCTCCTCCGTTCATCCTCGCTCCCTCCTTCCTCCGTTTCCTCCTCCTCCTCCTCCTCTTCCTCCTCCTCGTCCTCCTCCTCTTCCTCCTCTTCCTCCTCTCATCATCCTCCTTCTCCTCCTCCTCATCCGTTCCTCCTCCCCCTCCTCCTCCTCCTCCTCGTCCTCCTCCTCCTCCTCCTCCAACTCCTCTGTTTATCTTCCTCCTCCTGCTCGTCCTCCTCCTCCTCCCCTCCTCCTCCTCCTCCTCCTCCTCCTCCTCCTCCTTCTCCTCCTCCTCCTCCACTCCTCCTCCCCCCCTTTCTCCTTGTCCTCGCACTCTCCTCCTCCTCGTCATCCTCCTCCTCCTCTGTTCCTCTTCCTCCTCGTACTCCTCATCCTCCGTTCATCCTCTTCCGTTTCTCATCCTCCTCTTCTTTTTCTTCCTCCTCCTCCTCCGTTGGTTTCTCCTCCTCCCACCCTCCCTCCCTCCCTTTTCCTCCTCCCCCCACTCCGCCTCCCTCACCTCCTCCTCCTCCTCCTCGTCCTCCTCCTGCTCCTCACCATCATCACCACCACCACCATCATCATCATTATCATCATCATCATCATCATCATCATCATCATCATCATCATCATCATCCTCATCCTCATCCTCATCCTCATCCTCATCATCCTCATCATCCTCACCATCATCATCATCACCATCATCAGCATCATCATCATCATCATCATCAGTAGCAGCAGCAGCATCAGCATCGTCATCATCATTAGCAGCATCATCAACATCATCATCAGCAGCATCAGCATCGTCATCATCATCAGCAGCATCATCATCAGCGTCATCGCCATCATCATCATCATCATCATCGTCGTCATCATCATGTGTTCTTTCTGTACACTCCACTCCCTCGTTCCGGAGGGCCGCGGATGCCTCGGTTGGGCGTGCGTCGCGGGACACGCCGCGGTTCGCGGGGCTTGTCGCGGGCATGGTTGAGAGGAGGCGGGGGGGGGGAGCGGAGCGGAGCGGGCACGGCGGAGCGGAGAGAAGGCCAAGAAGTTGTTGAAGAGCCCGTACGTCAAGAGGCGCCTCCCTCTCTTTCTGTTTCTCGTTGTTTCTACCTCTTTATCTCTCTCTCTCTTTCTCTCTCACTCTCGCTCTCTCTCTCTCTCTCTATCCATATCGTTCTCTCCCTCTCTCTCTCTCTCTCTCTCCCTCTCTCCATCTCTATCCCTACCATACTGTGCTTTGCTCTTCTACGCCGTGGCACGCACCTTCGAGGATCATTGCCCTGCTCGACATTCGACCCTCCACCTTCAGCAGCTCAGCACCCCAACCTCCAACCTCAAGCAATCGACTTTCCACCTCCACCTCCACCTGTCGACCTCCAGCTCCAACCAGCTCATCAATCTGACCTCCGATCGCCCTCATTTGACTATCCACCTCCACCTCCTCCAACCGACCTCCACACTCCACCAGCGCAGCATCCCGACCTCCAGCCTCAAGCAAGCGACTTTCCACCTCCACCTGTCGACTTCATCTTTCCACCAGCCCAGTACTTCGACTTCAGACCTCCACCATCCGACTTTCCACCTCCACCTACACATGCCGACCTAGAGCCTCTACCAGCTCAGCTACGACCTCCAACCAACAGCACCTGCCCCACCATCCGACTTTCCACCTCCACCTACACCAACCGACCTCCACCCTCCACCAGCACAGAATCCCGACCTCCAGCTTCAAGCAAGCGACTTTCCACCTCCACCTTCACCTGCCGACCTCAGACTTCCACCAGCCCAGTACTTCGACCTCAGACCTCCACTATCCGGCTTTCCACCTCCACCTACACATCACCTTCCACCTCCAGATTTCGATTTTCAACGCCACCAGCCCGAAGCAGGAAGAGGAGGAGGACGACGAGTCTACAACACCGTGTCCGGCGACGTTCCACTGTGCATCCTGCGACAACAGACTACGCCAGCCATTCCGGCTATTCCGTCTTCTCCAGCCTCGACCACCACGCGGAGGCAGATAATCACATCTTCGACGCCAGCTCCCACCTCGAAGGTGCCACCTCCAAATCGCGCGACGCACGCGCAACCGTCCAGCTCCAACCTCCCATGCCCAAGTAACGACCTCCAATCTTCAACCCCAGCTAAAACCCAGTTCACACTCGTACACAAGAATGCCAGGAGCCTGACAACAGATGACGACATTGACACGCTTTTGCACGAGATAGCCGACATAAGTTGGGATGTGATCGCCATCAACGAAACATGGAGAACGGCAAAGAAAGAAATGTGGACCACATCACGTGGAAAACACATATTCGCAGCTGCAGGACATGATCAACATTCACGAGGAGTGGCGATTCTGTTGCATAGCCGGCATGCCCGATCCATCAAGATCTTCACGGCCATCAGCGAGAGGATCGCTTACATGGACTTAGACTTGCCAGAACAATCCATAAGGATCATCGCGGCGTATTTTCCCCACGGAGGTTATGGCGACACGCACGTGCAGCAGGTATACGACATCCTTACCGTTCTCCATAAGGAGGCAACCCAGCGGCGAATGATGACAATATTGGCAGGCGATTTCAATGCGCAAGTTGGGGTTCAGAGCATCAGCGGCGAGACGGGTAACGACGACGAGCACGTCACGCTTGGCAAAATGGTGGGCAAATTTGGAATGGGGACGTGCAACGCCAGAGGAACATGGTTACGAGCATGGGCAAACAAGGAGAAGCTGATGATCACGAACACGCACTTTTACAAGCACCCACAGCATGTCTCTACATACACTAGCAGCAGCTCGGGCAGAACACGCTCACAAATTGACTACGTCCTCGTCGACCGCGCGTTCCGCTCCATAGTTCTTGATGCTCACGCGTCCCCGTGCCCAGATTTAGGCTCCGACCATCAGGCTGTTCATGTGCGACTCGACTTGTCTGCTTCGTCCGTGAAGCAACGGCGGAAACGGAAGAAACCGAAGACAATGCCGGCAGGGCGACCACCGGCTAACAATCCACATTTCCAGCAGCATTTAACAGAATCGTTGCAAACACACTCGCAAGATTCAACAGTAAGCGAGAGATGCACAGACACCGAACGAGCATTGATAGCTGCAAGTGCAGCCTATGAGGCCCAGCACGCCCACGCCGATAGCAATCACCACCGTGACTCCGAAACCGAGCAGAGCCAAAAACTCCGTGACCTCATAGCTCAACGACGCAGCGCGCCACACGAGGACACCGTGACCCGCAAGACGATTAGCAAACACATATACAAGGAGCTACCGTCATTGAAACGGGCCCGGCGGCAGGAGAAGATCAAGGACATCATCTGCAGCTTCAAGGGCCTCAAAAAGCTAGCGAGCACCAAAACGACCAAGCACAAAGACATGATCCCGTCGACGACGGGGCGCGATGGCAACGACGTGACCGATCGACAAAGCATCGCCGACATCTTTGCCACATTCTACGAGCAGCTCTACCGACGTAACGTTTTCCACAACGAGCGTGCGACACGAGACACCGACACGCCCCGCAGGAACGCCGACACCGACGTAACCCACGACCCCATACCACCCTTCTCACAAGAAGAGGTACACCAAGCAATCAAGCAACTCAAAAATGGCAAATGCAAAGACACGGCGGGGATCACAGCAGAAATGTTGAAGGCCGGCGGGACGTGCATAGAGCAGCGCCTTCAATGTTTGTTCAACGACATCATGCAACCATATTGTTTACCACCAGAGCAGTGGTGATGTACGACCAGAAGCGTAATTTACAAACCTGGGGACCCCAAGCTACCGCAGAACTATAGACCAATCGCGATCATCTCTCTCCTGTACAAGTTGATGTCCCGATTCGTGTACAATCATCTAAGCCCTGTACTGGACGGCCAACAAAGCGTCGACCAAGCAGGCTTCCGACGTGGCTACAGCACCGAAGACCACCTTTTTACCATAAGCATGCTTCACGACCAGTCGGAAGAATGGCAACTACCTCTCTGGGCGGCAGCTGTGGACTTGAAGAAAGCATTTGACTGTGTCAGCCATGATTCACTATGGCAGGCTCTGGTAGACCAGCATATACCCTCATCCTACATCGAGCTCGTACAGAAGTTCTACGACAATCAAACTGCAAGAGTCCGCACAGACACGACGAGCACCGAGTTCAACAGTGAGAGAGGCGTGAAGCAAGGGGACCCGCTCAGCTCACTTTTGTTCAACGCGCTCCTTGAACATATCTTCCGACGCCTGAAACGGTCGTGGTCCAAGCGGAAGCTCGGCATACAAATGGGGTTTGCCACAGACTCCACCATTACCAACCTTCGATTTGCAGACGATATTTTATTGTATGCGCCGAATCTACGCCAACTGAAATGCTTACTTTGCGACCGGCAGAACCAGTCGCCCCAATGCGGCCTGGAACTACACCCAGACAAGACCAAAATACTTACGAATGTCACCCGGCGCCAGGGCAGAACAATTCAAGTTGTCACCATCGACGGGGACAATGTTGAGATCTTGGAAGCGGAGCAGAGCACGAAGTACTTAGGCAGAGCACTCACGTTTCACGGCTTCCACGAAAAGGAGCTCAACTGTAGAATTGCTTCTGGACGGCGCAAGTTCAACCAGCTGAGGCACGAATTGACTTGCAAGCACTACCCTCTTGCTAGCCGCTTACGACTTTTCAACGGGACTGTGACACCTGCTGTCGCGTGCGGATGCACTTCGTGGGTTCTTACTAAAGACATGGCGATATGATCAGAATAATAGCTGGCACCAGCAGGAGGCGCACGAAAAGCCCCCCTGATAACGACGACCAAACGAAGCATCAGGCCAGCAATTCCGAGCACGTGGAGAAAACGAATCTAGAGACCACAACGCCTGAGAGCGACTCCAACGACAGCATCCAAGACAACGGCGACAGCGACAACGGTAGCACATCTGACGTCTGCACCACGGAATCCTGGATCGACTTCGTCCGGAGAGCAACGCACGCAGCTGACGCCCACGCCAAACGAGCTCAAATCGAATCTTGGACAACAGTTTATTTCAAAAGGAAGTGGCGGTGGGCTTGCCGCGTAGCAAAACAATCTACCGACCGCTGGTCACGACGCGCCGCCGTCTGGGAACCACCAGTACACGACAAACGACCTGCACAGAGGAAACGCCGAGGACAGCGGAAAAGATGGGATCATGATATCGTCAGCTTTTTGATCTCACACAAACTGGTGGACGACACAAGGGCATCCGACGACACCGGTTGCCGATGGTGCTTGCAGCTTGCTTGCGACACCTGTGTGTGGCACAGATTGGAGGGACAATTTATCACTCTCTGCCTCTCTTTTTTTTTGTTCTCTCTCTCTCTCTCTCTCTCTCTCTCTCTTTCTACACACAGTGGCCGTCGTGGTGGCGCCTCGGGGGGGGACGGGGAGCGGACCAGCGAGGCCTGGGGCAGGGCCCCGCCCAGGAAGAAGAGCGCCTGACACCGTCTTGCCAGCCGGGGGCGCTAAAGAGAAGCACACGGGCAGGGCTCGTGTCGATTCCTCCGATTCGATTTCGATGGATCGCGATTCCGATTCGGTTCGACTTCGGATTCCGATTTTGATTCCGATGTCTCAAGGGAGGCTTACTAGCCTGCCGATGTTTGCCGACTCGACTTCTCCCGATTCGGCTCCAGATTTCCGCTGATCTGGTTCACTTCGATCGCCGACCCGACTTGTCGATTCGCTTCTGGGCTCTCCTGCAGGGGCGTCAGCCGAAACCTCGGTGTTCCACTAGATTCGGGGGCGTTGCGATCGGCGTTTTGGGGAAGCGCGCCGGTTTCGGGCCCGACATGGGGCCCCGGAGGGACCCCGAGCCCTCGGTTTGCCCGCTGCTCGCCCCTGCGAGCAGCGCCGACGTCCAGAGTCCAGAGCTCAGCTGTGCGCGCACATGCAAACACAGCTCTCCTGGGGCAGAACGAGAACGTAACATCATCGACAGCTGATGTTGCCTCGTTGTCTGCCAAGGATTGCTGCCATTCAAGTCCCGAGGTTCGGATCGGCAGCGAGCGGGAATGCGCAGGCAGAGCGGTCGGTAGAGGGGCCGTGCACAATGGGGAACCTTGACGAGAAAGAGAAGCCACCATCTTACCTCCGCCAGGATTATCGCATTGACTAATGCTCGCACGGCCTCCCTTGTTTGCCACAGCACTGCGCGCTCGCTGTACACCGCATGCGTGCCGCTACAGTATGCACATCAAGCAAGAAGCCAGCCTGCCAGCGTGTGCCCCACTGGACTTCCTGACCCCTCGAGGGCGCAGGGGATCCACAAGCTCTGGGGCGCCCCATGCAGTGCGGTGGTCGACGTCACACGTGCCCCTGGGTGCCTTACCGACAGATTCATGGCCGCATCGGCTTACTTGATGCGGTATACGGGTACCTCCGGTTCACCCTACAGAGTCCGAGACGCGCTGCCCGCGGAGGTTAACGGACAAGAAGGAGAGGAAGCAGCGCATCGAGGCGCACGGCCTGCATGTTGCTTGTTCGTCGCCGTGGGCTTTTGGGCGAGGCGGCGGAAGGAGGAGGAGGAGGAGCAGGAGGAGGAGCAGCAGACGGAGGATTGGGGCGAGGAGGCGGAATAGCAGGAGCAGGAGGAGCAGGAGCAGGGGTGGGGGGAAGGGGAGGCTGACAGTGCACTTTCTCTTCCTCCTCCTCCTCCTCCTCCTCCTCGCCACGTCCTCCTCCTCCTCATTTTATTCCTCCTACTCCTGCTCCTGCATCCTGCTGCCCCCCCTCCGCCTGCCCTATCCTCGTGCTCCTCTTGGTCCTCCCCCGCGTGGTGACGCCGCTACTCCTCCTTGTCCTCCACCTCGTTCTCCCTGCCACACTCCTGTGCGTAGTGGCCCTCCTTCCCCTCCTCATGTCCCTCCTGCCCTGGTGGGTCAGATTCGTCCCTTTCTCCCCATGGTCTCCCAGCAGCGTGAATAATCAGGAGAGTGCGCATGCCTCGGCAGCGATGGGCAGACGGATGAGCGGAGGCAGTGGCGTGGTGCGTACATAATCCCCGTCACGCGTTGCGTATCCCCGCCTGCCCATTCAACTACCCTGCAGATGAGAGTTGACGAGGGAAAAGTGCGACCATGCGACACATGTAGTGAAACAAAGCGGGCAACCAGGATTAACAGAGCGGGGAGGAGCCACGTTGGGCCACGTTGGAAGGTCCTGGGTGAAGGAGGAAGAGGAGGACTAGGAGGAGGAGGAGGAGGAGGAGGAGGAGGAGGAGGACGACGACCCCGACGACGACGACGTCGACGATGACGACCCCGGCGACGAGGAAGAGGAGGAACAGGACACGGAACGCGATGAGGGCAAGGACGAGGACGAGGACGAGGACGAGGAGGAGGAGGAGGAGAAGGAGGAGGAGGAGGAGGAGGAGGACGAGGAGGAGGAGGAGGAGGAGGAGGAAGAGGAGGGGAGGAGGAGGAGGAGGAGGAGGAGGAGGAGGAGGAGGAGGTCAACCAGGACGAGGACAGAGCCCCCACATCGCCTCTTGGAGCCTGTTGGGACTTTTTTTCGTTGATCTTGGGGTCCTCTTGGGGCTCTTTCGGGTTGGGGGTCCCTTGGGAGCCCTGGAGGGCCTCTTGGGGCCATCTTGGAGACCGTCGATCAAAAGTGAGGAGTTGCTTCTCGAGGTGCCTTGCCCCCCTGGGGCCATCAAAATCGCCTCTGAGGGGCCCTCTTGGGCCGCTTTTGTGCGCTCTCTTGGGGCCGCCTGGGTGGCCTCTTGGGCACCTCCTGAGCCTCTCCTGAGCCATGTTGGGGCCATCCTGAGGCCTCCACAGCGCATCGGAATCGAAAAGGCGAGACGTCATAAATCATTGCTTGCCCATAGGTGTTTGAAGGATATTGGCCTCTTTGGGGCGGGGAGTCCTGAGGGGCTCCGAGACACTTGGAACGGTCTTGTGGCCTTCGTCGGGCCTCTTAAAGGCTTAAAGGTATGTCAGAAGGTATCTTGAACAATCGCCAGCTATCTGGAGCCATCTTGGAAGCCACCCTCTTGGAGCCATCTTGGGGCATCTTGATCGTTTAACGATTCGCGCCCCGCCCCGAACAACCTCAGGGAGGGGGAGGGAGGTAAACCTCCCGGGAGGGACGAGGTGTGCTTGAAACAGGGACGGCAGCTATCGGTGGACCACCTTAGCCAAAGGGGCTGGTAGGTTGGTGGGAGTGTTCCTCTTCGCCTGATGCATACTACCCACACGGTGCTTGCCCTTGGGGTGTCTCATTTCTGTCGCAGAGGGGTTGGATGGGTTCGCCGAGGTCTCGCCGCGTCGCCGCCCGTGGCCGCCTCGTTGCCGCCTGCTCTGTGAGCCCGCCGAGATCCTGCCGCGTGGCCATCCCTGGCGGCCTCGTGGCCGCCGCGCTGCCGCCCACCCCTTGGCCGGGCCCGCCGAGGTCTCGCCGCGCCGCGCCGCCGCCCCGAGGCCGCCCCGCTGCCGCCCACCTCGGGGGTCCGCCGAGGTCTCGCCGCCTCGCCGCCCGTGGCCGCCTCGTGGCCGCCCGCCGCGCCTGGGGGGGGGCCCGACGAGGCTTCTCCACATTGCCCCCCGAGGCCGCCTCGTTGCCGGGTCCGCCGAGGGTTCGCCGCCTCGCCGCCCGTGGCTGCTTCGTGGCCGCCCGCCGCGCCTGGGGGGCCCGACGAGGCTTCTCCACAGTACCCCCCGTGGCCGCCTCGTTGCCGCCTCTGGCTTGCACCACGCACACTGCACTACACAGCCTGCGCCACACAGTTTGCACCACATCGCCGACACGTCTACCGTGCAGTAGCTCACTGTTTGGGGCACACGCTGGCCAACATGCATGACTGTGTCAGATGTTACGGTTGTGCTGTCATTGCTATTCGGTCCTGGCCTCGCCATGTTTCTGGCCATCGTCGATCTGGGCACGCTCCACCTCTCGCCGCCGCCGCATCGCCTACCCTGCACCTCAGGCGCGTGCAGCCTCCGAGCCCCCGCCTGCCTGCAGAGGCAGAGCGGCGCTCCCCGCGGTGCGCTCTCCTCGCGCACGCGCGCGCACGCGCGCGCACGCGCGCTCCGTCCGGGACGCGGCCCCGCTCACCGCGAGGGAGGCGCGGCATCCCGAGCACGCCGCCGTGTGGGAGCCCGGCGGCGTGCGGCCCCTCCTCCGCGCTGTCTGGAATGCCCGGTGCCTCGAGGGCAGCAGCACGCCGGTGGGTTCCCCGCGGCGGCGTGTCGCGGATGCCTGCCCAGGCCCCCCCGCGTCGTGAAGAGAGCACGACGGGAGGCGTTTCGCTATTTTGGGCCTCCGGGGGCCCTAGTGTGCCGGGCCTCGGGGTCGTGAAAAACGACTCCGGATGAGAAGCCGGCCCTGGGGAAGGGGTCCAGAGCTCTGGGAGTCGACGTTGTGAGAGAATCACGACGTCGGGGGTCTGGGTGCTTTGCCCTCACCCCCCCACCTTACCCGTCATGCCGCCGCCCTGGATCCCGTTCCCTGCGATCCGGCGTGGCGAAAAAGCTGCAGCATCGTAAGAAACCACGCCTGGACCCCTAGACCCCATCTTTCTGCGTCATTTTTCGAGCCGGAGGGATCGATCCCTCCGGCTCGAAACGGAGCAGATATAGAGTTGTGAGGGGCCCGGGACCCTCACAGATCTGTGAGGGTCCCGGGTCCCGAAATGGAGCGAAAACGCTCGTACAGTGGCAGCAGTTGCAGCGCCAGGAGCTCAGAGTGCGCCCTTCGCGCCCCGTGTGCCCGCCAGGACAACGAGCTCTCCGACGACCCGCTGGACGAGGCGCGCCGGGCCCGGCGGGCGACGGGGGCGGTGCGTTGGCCGCGGCGCGGTCTTGATCTGTGGATGTAAGGCCGGCACCTTCGAAGAATCAGCCTCCTGCTAAGAAGCTTTCCCCCCTGCACTTACCCCCCTACCCCCCTCCTCCTAAGAAGCCGACGTCGTGATTTTTTGCAGGACGGCGACCCCCAGAGGTCGCACGCTCGCCCTCGGGCGCGCGGTCGCAGGCCGCCTCCTCCGAGAGGGCGCGGCGATCTCTGGACGTCTGCGCGGGCCAGGGGGGGGGGGGGGCGAAGGCATGTGATCGCTCGACGCTGTTGTCTGCGTAGCTTCTTCTTCTTCTTATTCTTCTTCTTGTCCTCCTTCTCCTGCTCCTCCTACTCCTCCTTCTCCTCGTCGTCCTTCTCGTCCTCCTCCTCCTCCTCCTCCTCCTTCTCCCCCTCCCCCATCCCCCCCTCCCCTCCCCCTCCCCCTCCCCCCCTCCTCCCCCTCCCACCTCTCCTCCTCCCTCCTCCTCCTCCTCCTTTCCTCCTCTCCTCCTCCTCCTCCTCCTCCTCCTCCTCCTCCCCTCCGTAGCCATTTTGGCTCAAGCCATTTTGGCTCAAGATGCTTAGTTCCGCAGGGGAACAAGTGGATACCGCTAGTCCGCGGCCAGTTTGCAGTCCTTCCCCTGGTCAGCCCCAGGGCGAGCGCCGAGGTGGTCCGCCCCACCTCGGCGCGTCTCTCGCATCCTTCCTTGCTCGGGGCTGCCCAGCCTCGTGCATCGTATTCCTGATCCTCGTGTGCTTTGTATCGGCAGGATGGTGCCGCGCCCAGTCGCCGACAAGACTTGGCTGTGCAAGACCTGCATCCACGAGCGCACGGGTGAACCTTTCTTCAATAAGGCTGACCGTACATCATGCTTCTCGTGCAGGCGGCCCAAGAGCAGTTGTTTCAAGGCCTACAAGCTGTCCACCGCAGACCCGAGTGTGCACGCTGGAGGTCTCAAGGCTGGTGGCAAGAAGGCCGCTAGCGCTGGCTCGGCACCGTGGGAGGTCGCCAAGCAGCTGCGTTTGGCGCAGGAGACGATTGCCAAGTTCGAGAAGCAGATCCAGGCCAAGCACGTGCCAGCGCCTGATGCCATGGATGTGTCGGAGCCTAAGGCTATGGCAAATGATTTCGATGAAGGCAAGTTTCGTGCACGGATTCTGGAGTTGGATAAGGAGATCGCAGTTGCCAGCAAAGGTGTTGGCGCAGCGTGGGAAGTCCTCAAGGAGGCGCTCACCAAAGAACGCAGCGAGCTCCAGGATGAAATTAACAAGCACAAGCCTGCAGCCTCACGCATGTTCGTCGCTGGCAAGCAAATTGAGGCTATGGGCAAGCAGATTGCAAAGGCGGAGAAGGATGTTGACGACCAAAAGGCCGTCATCAAGGAGCTCCAGGATGTGCTGGTGCAGGCTGAGCAGAAGGTGCTGGACAAGAAGGCCAAACTGCTCGAGCTCCAGACCCAGCACGCTGATTTGGCGCGCCAGAGCTATGTCCCACCTGTGCCTAATGACGACGGGGAGGCTGGGCAGACTGTTCATGCTCTGGGCCTTGACACAACCAAGTTGGGTGAGGTGTTGCGCGCACTTGGAGCTGGAGACAGGACTGACGCCATCGCGCACGGAGTGGCTCAAGCACTGCCTCAGATTATCACGAATGCTCGGTTGCAACCAGTGGGCGCGACTCGACACCATGCAGGTCCTGAGCTGCTGGACAATGAGTCACTTGCTGATGACGAAGCTCCTCTGGTACCTATCAAGGAAGCAACCGAAGATGTATTGCGGCCTTACCTGGCGGAGGCGGGTCAGGAGGTGCCCACGACTTTGGAGGAGATGCGTGACGCGGCCAATCGACTCTGCAAGCTGGAGCAGCATGCCAAGCAGAGGAAAGGGCCAGGCTTCCAGGCCTACTAGGCCAAGGAGGTTAGTCCACGCCATGATGATGTTCACTTTACTGGTTAGGATGACGTATTCCGATTCTAAGATCAAGGGGCAGATTGTCACGGTCAATACTGATGCAGCTGGCCCTTTGCTACGATATGTGGAGCAGGCCACAGATGCGGTGATATTGGTTCAAGAGCATAAGTCAGATGGATCAATGTTGCCCAGCCTGCAGTACAAGCTGAAGTGCATGGGCTACCACGGCATTTTCTCGGCGGCCAAGCGCACGGCAGCTGACGGGCTCTCAGCGGGGGTTGCAGTGATTACGCCGAGTTTTATCACGATTACGGCGCCGCCACTGTTCAAAGACCCTGAGATTGTGCCCTCTCGGGCTGTGGCAGCGCAGGTCAACTGGGGCCTCAAGAGTGGGTTGGTTGTCATATCCCTCTACTTGCAGGACTCCGTGGACCTGAATGACTACAACCTTATGATCCTACACAAGGTGGCGCAATACGCGGGCCGCCTCAATGCAGCAAATCGGCCCTGGGTCATTGGAGGTGACTTTAATATGAATGCGAATTTGATTGGAGCACAGGAGTGGGTGGCGCAGACGAATGCGTTGATGATGGTACCTTCGCAAGTCACATGTCGCACCACCAACTCGGCTGAGGGCAAGAATTATGATTACTTTATGGTTCACTCCAAGTTGGCCGCAATCATTGAGCCACCAGATGTGTTGGCGGCTGCAGGGCTACCCACGCATGCACCTGTTGTTCTTTCGATTCGTGCTGAGCCCAATAAGATCTGGCTAAGGGTCCCTGTTGAGCCCAAGCAGTTACCAAAGCTACCCAAGCAAGGTTGTTCGCGATATCCTATGAACTGGGATCATGTGGTGGGCACCATTCTACGTGCTCATGACGACGACACGCTCAAGATGGCTTGGGGCGCAGTCATTACTGGAGTGGAGTATGAGATACTCAACAGATACGACGTGGTTGATGATGAGGCTGCTCCGTACAGGGGCAGAGCGGGCCCGAGGGACACCAAGTTTGTCGAAGCACACTGGACCCCCAAGCGTGAGGCGGGAGGCCTTGGGCCGAACGCCTTAGCTTGGCTGGCTGCGGCCAGATGGGCGAAACATCTCATGAGAGTGCGAGCCTTCTGGATCAAATTGGTGCAGGAAGCTGTACGTGATGATAGGCGTGCGGGCGAATTTCACCTTCCTGATTACAGCTCGCCCTGGACCAGCCGACAGCCATCCTTGGCGCCTGCAGCTGCAGCTCCTATGAGAGAGGAATCAGAGGCAGACGACAACTGGATGACGGTCACCAGCAGATCGAGATCACAGAGGGCACCTACGAGTGGGTCATGCAGCCTACGCCCTATGAAGGACGAGACTGCCCCGCGGCGCGTGTCCTCTGCTGATCCGCGCAGGCCCGCGGCTCTCAGCTCAGTGACCCCGTGCGGTGGTATCGCTGGAGGGCCGATGGCGCCGTGTACTGCAACTACGACCAGTGATGTCTCTGCCCCTGGTAGAGGGCCTACGCGTACTACTACGGCGACCGCGACGACTGCGTCAGCCTCGAGGCCGCGTGAGGATCCAGGGAATCCTGGCAGAACGCAGTCCAGGAAGCAGCGAGCATCAGCGAGACTGAATCCCATTGACAGATTGGCTCGTTCGCTAGTGGACACAGATCGCTTTTTGCTCAAGATAGTGGGGCGGCAGAACCACACGTGGAGTCACCTGGATGAGGAGACTCAGAGATTCTTCCTAGATGACATCGCTTTGCTAGGAAGAGACGACTTCGAGCAGCAGATATACCGCATAGTCGAGCGTGCTGATGAAGTTCACCAGGAGCATAAAAAGAAGGTGGAGGACAGCTGGAAGTCTTGGATCGACATGGCGTTCAAGAAAGGTGCAGGCCCTGCGCATCGCACGTCTAAGGTCAAGGCTCTGGAGGCAGCTGTGGCGCACACTGACAGAATGCAGCCGTACCAGATGGCCGACAGGGAAATGGATGTCTGGCATGAGGTATGGTCTTGTCATGGGCAGCGTGAGCCACCATTGCCTAGTGATGCGCATGCATGGGAGGATCTTCCCCCGCTTCGGCCAGAAGACTTGTCCAGGGCAGCTCTCACGTTCACCTGGACGACGGCCACTGGGCCGACGAGGCTGCACCCTCGTGCATTTTTCTTCCTCTCTGATGCTGGCTTGTTGGCGCTCTGCACACTGTACCACGCATGCGAGCGGATGCTGTGCTGGCCGACACAGAGAATAGTCAACGAGATGGTTGGGCTTGCCAAGCCCGATGGAGGCACGCGGCTGATCACTTTAGTAGAGAGCTTAGTACGTTTGTGGGCGCGAGCAAGGCGCCCGATTTCAAGAACATGGGCTGTCCAGCATGGGAGCCCTTTTATTTGGGGCAACAGGAGGGGACACTCTTCCAGTTATTCCGCGTTTGCGCACAACCTAGAGGCGGAGATTGCTGCTTCTCTGGGAGAGACGAGTTCAGTCACGGTGTTTCTCGATATGTGGAAATGTTTCGAGACAGTGCTGTTCCCTGCATTGCTTGATGAAGCCAGGTGCCTGGGGTTCCCTCTTCGTTTGTTATGGATGCTAATCAGCTCGTATTTCCAGCCAAGGGTTATAAAGGCGTTTGGATGTTGGAGCAAGCAGGTGGTGGTGTACCAGGGCATCCTCGCGGGCTGCACCCACGCCACCACCCTCCTCACCATCCTCACCTGCAGGGCCCTCATGAAGGTGCACCAGGTAGCCCCCAACGTGACCCCGAGAGCGCTCGTGGATGACAGCGCGTTCCAATGGGTTGGGCCGTCGGGGACTTCTTCGGCTGAGCTGTTCTTGGGGATCCAGAGCTTCGTCAAGGATTCGGCCAAGTTGGGGCTTTTACCTGCTGTGGACCTACTGGTGACAGATCTCCAGAGCCTGGCAGCTGAAGTGAACTCCTGGCACCACGACCAGGAAGATGCGAATTCGACATACGCAGACATCTGGAGGCGCATCTTTCATGCAGCTGACGACAAGCGTCGGCCCAGAGCTTGCTGGACGCCTGCGCACATCACGATCGAGAGTTACCTGGAGGTATACTTCGGCACCCTCCCGTTTGAATTTCTGCTCGGGAACATGTGGGCGGATTTTTTTCGCAATGGAGGGGGCCAACATGCACGTTGCACACAAATCGACGGTCCAAATGTTCGAGGCCAGGCTGAGCCAAGAGAAGTTGAATGCTAAGTTCTTCTCCTGGGCGGCTGCTAAGCTCATCACCAGGGACTCCACCAGCAGTAGACCCGAGAGGCTCAAGTTAGGTGGCCCCCCCGATACCTGTACAGCATGTAGGATTGCGTGTGCATGAGGTGGTCATCCGCAGTCCTGGGGTCTGGCAGTGCAAGACATGTTTGGCCACGGCTCGGACCCCAGCCAGTTTGTTGAAACTTGTTGCGGGTACCAGTAATTATGCTGCGTGTGAGCCCACGGAGCAACAAAAGCTCCAGGCTCGCAATGATGTTGTATTGCAGCGCGCATTGCCTTACAGGAGTGAAGCGGTCAACGTTGCGCTAGGTCTAGCGCAGGAGCTCAGACCACCCGAAGACCCTGTCGTTCCTGGTCCGTCGGGGGCTCAGCAGCAGTGTGCAGACGACATCGTAGAGTTAGATGGCCACCGAATTCTCTCGAATCTTGGCGCAATGGTTTGCACATTGTGTGGGTCGTACCAGCTTAATGCTGGGCGTGCGGGGCACTCGAAGCTTGGAGGATGCTGTCTGGGCCCTTCTCAGCACCCCCCCACACTGTATAAGCAGCGGCATGCAATTAAGGCCATCAAGGCGGGTAAGAACCCCAAGAATGGCCTGCCGATCAAACTGTTTTGATGAGTTTCTTTGGCCCGCTCTGTTTTCCGTCACTTTTTCCCCCGGGAATCCACGGTAAACGAGCTGGGCCCACATGATTGGCCCATGCTCCCGTAGTTGGTTGCATGACAGGTCATCCGAGGCGTCCTCCTCCTCCTCCTCCTCCTCCTCCTCCTCTGGGTGCGAGCCCGTTGTCGACGGCTCAGCAACTCAGCAGGTGTTTAAGGAGCTGCAACGCGCGGCTTTTGGGGCTGTTTTCCTAGCACCTGGCCCTGAATACAAGATTCAGGCACGGATGATGGGCACAGTCTGGCCCACCCTCTTCCAAACTCCGCAGTCGGCGGAGCACCTCGGCATGGCAACGCTTAGCTGCGTCATTGATTATCCTGCCACTCCTCACAGCGACTGCTCTGGTGCCGTTAAGTTGCACAATGCTAGTCGTCGGGAACAGTTGAATCCAAAGCAGATGTTTTCTGGC